TATATAATAATAAACTTTGAATTTGATTAAATATTGTAATTGTTTTTACTATTTGTAAATTGAATTAATATATTAAAAATATAAGGTGAAAGAGAAATTTCAATTACTTTGGATGATATATTAGGCTCTATTTAAATCAGAAAATATTAAGAGTATTGCATTATTTAAACAATATAATATTGAAATAATTCTAGATATATTAATTTATAAAAATTCATTATTTATTTCAAATAAGTTAGCAACAACTTGAATCTCGGGGGGCATCAGTTTAATTTTTGTCTTTTTATCCTGTTACTTCATTTTTATTGGGTTGAATTGCATCCTGAATTACAATTCTAAATTTTTTGTTATCTTCATATCTTAATATTGCCTCACTATTATATTCTAAATATTTTAAGATTCTCAAAGAATCCTATATTCCTTGTTTCCAGGATACAGATTCTGAATTTTTCTCATAATCACTTTCTAGTTTCGATAATTAATTAATATATGAATTTAATTCTCCTTATTCAAATACTTCCTTGTTTGTTATTTGTTTTTTGGCCAAAAAGATGGCCGCAAATTGTATTTCCTTCTCTTAGTCGGATGGGCCAACAAAAAATTTTTATTATATTTTAGTAAATATTTGCATTCTATTTTAAAATTTATTTTCTTTTTATTTTTCTACCATATAATCTAATGCTGCATTTATAGCAGTGAACGTCGTACCTATGATTGGTACAGATCCCATTAGAAAAGAACCAGTACTAGAAAAAGTTTTAAGAAACTCAGCAACTTTTTCAGAATTACTTTCTACCATAGCATCTTTATGTATTGCAAATAATTTAGTAGACAAAAGTTACATAGCTTGCAAGTAATTGTATAAACGCCAAAATAAAGATTTGTAATATAAACATTATTCAAAGTTCTCTGGTTTCTTTATGTAATCTAATTCTTATTATAATTAATAAGAATCTTATTCCTCCAATTTCTAAACTTTATTTTCTAATGATACAAATTTCTCCTAAAAGGCTTTCAATTTTTATTCAACTTGGAATAAGTAATCCAATAATTATGATTATTATTTCTAACTACATTATTCATTTGTTGGTTTCAAACCATTAACAGCCTATTCTTAAATCTTATTAATTTCAGATAAAAATGCTTATTCTTATTTCTAATCTATTGTGTTTGTATTTGCTAATTAGGCTATATTTTTTTTTGCAATTTAAAATTGGTTGTCAATTTCAGAAATCAGCTTTAATTTACTTTAAATAAAGATTTCTACTTTTGAATTTTGAATGAATAATTTATTCCAAACAACCTTATGCTAATGAAAAATATTGTTTTGCCTGCATATAATCCTTTTGTTAGTAGTATAAACTACCAAGATTAGTCAAATATAAAGGATTCAAAGGAGCTATTTCTATTGCTTTCTTGTAGTCTTATATAGCCTCTTATATTTTGCCATCATTCATTAATAAGTTACCTAGTTATGTTAATATATTTAACCTCTCGAGTTATAAGTATCAGAATGAGCTGGATTGCGTTCTAATACTAACTTAAAATCTTTTAGGGCCTTATCTTTTTATCCCAAATCATAGTATAAAATACCTATTATTTTTAAACAATAATACCTCTGTTGTAAAGAGAGTTAATATTGTTGGGATTGAGTTCAGCAGCTTTATTATAATCCTTAAATGCTTCATCCATCTTATTCAAATCTTTAAATAAGATACCTGATCTAAATTAATTTTTTACCTCTACTATTATAGGCATCGGAATTATTTTTGTTAAGTTCAATTGCTTTATTAAAATCATCAAAGGCCTCTTGATTTCTCTCTTTTTTTCTAAGTAAAATCCCTATTTTCAATAAGCAAAAAAAAACCTCTATTACAATATGTATTTGAGCTTTAAGGATCAAGTTCGATAGACTTATTATAATCATTAAGGGCTTCTTAATCTAAACCTTAATCACTAAAGAGATTGGCTAGATTTATAGCTGTTGCTTTACCTCTATTATTATAGGTATTTGAACTATTCGGATCCATAAGGATAGATGTACTGTAATCAATCATTGATTCTGTATCTTTTTCTAGATCATGGTAAATACTACCTAAAAGAATAGCTGATATTTATACCTCTAATATTAAAAGCCTTAGCATTTTTAGGTTCTAACTAAATTACCTTGTTTATATCATTTAGGGCTGCTTAATAATTTTTTTATTTTGAATAGAATAATGCTTGAAATAATAATAATGTTTACATCTATTATAATAAGCATTAGTATATTATGGATCAAGATTGATTGCTTTTTGATAATCATCTAAGGCTTCTTAGATTTTTCCCATATCTGACATCAAACCAGCTAAAAATACAAATCCATGAAACCTCTGCACTAATAGAATTTAGCATCATTAGCATTTAGCTCAATAGCCTTATTATAACTCTTTAAGGCATCTTCCTTCTTTCCTAATTCATTTAGCAAAAATCCTAAAAATTATAAAAACAATACCTCTATTATAGTAGGCACTCTAATTAGTTGGCTCTAATTCTATTGCCTTATTGTAATCTTTTAATGATTACTCTTTATTTCCAATGTCATCAAATAGTATAGCTAGAATAAATTATTAAAACAACCTCTATTGTAATATGCTTTGGCCACATTTGGAGTAATCTTTATCATTTTATTATAAGATTCTAAGGCTTGAGCTTTTCTTCCAATTTTGCCCAGGATGATGGCTAAGCAAAATTTTGATAAAATACCTTAACCAAAGTAGGCGTCACTATATTCAGGATCAATGTTAATAGCTTATTAATAGCTTAAAAGAGCATTCTCTTATTCTCCCAATTCCTCTAATAATATTGCTAAACACTTAGTGAAGATAAGAATACCTTTATTATAGTGAGCACTTTTATCTGAGGGATTCAGTTCAGTTGCTTTAGTAAAATCTTATAATGATTAGATTTTATTCTTTTCCATTAAAAGATACCCTCTATGAAAATATGAATTTGCATCATTAGGATTGAGGTTTATTAATTTATTATAACAATCAATTGCCTCATCGTTTCTACCAAGTTTTTTCAATAAAATTGCTGATTTTATAAAAGATTTATACCTTTATTAGAATAGGCATTTTATTCCTATGGCTTGAGATCAATTATCTTCTAATAACAATTTATTGCTTCTTAATCTCTTCCCAAATTATATAAAATGATAGCTGATTATTATGTAAATGATTACCTAGATTATTGTAGGCATCAACATTTTTAGGATTTATGCTCAGAACTTTTTCATAATCTTTAATAGCATCTTCATTTTTGCCTAATTTGTTTAAAATTATTGCTTATAATAGATCAAATAAATTAACCTCTATTAAAGTAACAGTTTTCATGTTATGGATTAAGTTCAATAGCTTTATTATAGTCTTTTAAACATTCTACATGTTTATTTAGGTCGGAATATATGTTACCTATTAATATATTATATATTGTAAACCTCTCAAATAATACGCATTTTCTTTTGTAGAATCTAATTCTATAACTTTATTTAGATCTTTAAGAGCATCTTAATTTTTTCCTAAGTTCCTTAATACAATTGATTTATTGTAATATGCATTTGTGTAGTTTGGGTCTATTTGTATCACCTTTTAATAATCTTTTATAGCTTCTTCATTCCTATTAAGATCTGACAATAAATTTGCTACAATTTTATCATATAGCCTTACCTCTACTGTGGTATGCTTGTAATAACTCAGAATCAAGTTCTATAGCCTTATTAAAATCTTATAAGGCTTCAAAATTCTAACTCTATTCATTAAGAAACCATGCTAATTATGATTCTTTGATAAATAATACCTCTATACAAATAAGCAGAAGCAAGCTAAGGCATTAGTACTATAGCCTTATTTACTTCTTATATTGCTTGGTCCAATTTATTTTACTTATATAAATCCTTAAATTAAAAAATAATTCTACATAGCTTAAATCTTTATGCTTATAGGCTTATTGTTAATTGTCGAATGTCTGATTAGCACCTTCTTAGTTTTGTATCATATATTTTATGATTGAAATCTAAAAAATACAAATAAAATCTTTTTGATTTAAAAACAAACTTTGATTAAATAATTCTACTATTTTAATCGAAGAACAATGAGCAAGATGATATATTAAATCTTTAATTATAAATATTAGTCTGAACTAAAAATGTATCATTATAATTTGAATGGTAATATTATATTTAGATAAACAATAAATTAGTTGTAATCTTAAGGATACAATTAATTATTTTATGGATTCAACAAACGTTCAGGATATCTCATTAGATTATTTATCAGATTCATCAATTGAGAAAGATAAAGGGATCTCATAAACTTTTTAAAATTAGCAAGAATTTGATAATCTTAATGAAGATTTTTAAAACCTTGAGATTGTTCTAGAACTAAATGATATTATGAATGACATCTGGAACATAAAATTGGCAGAGAAATATGAACAAAAATTGTAACACTTCAGAGACTATAAAACAATTATAGATAAGTTATATTAATATTTCAAAAATAACATTGAAAAAACTAAGTTATTTATATATCTACCAATCGATAAATAAGTTAAATATACTGAGGAAATTGCAGATTTTTTCTATTATTTATTGATGAAGGATGTTAAAAGAATTTAGGCTAAGCATATTATTAAATTTATTGAATATTCTAATTAAAAGCCAATCAAAATAGAGGCTTTTTAAATCTTTGCAGATAAATGTAATATCAGTCTCTCTGGATACAATTTGAATGATTATAAAAAGAAACCAGAAAAAACTAAATAAATTCAATAAAATTACAAATAAAAAGATATAATATTATTTTAAAAAAATACCATAACCTTGCTTGATATTTTATATAGAAATTAATATATTGAACTAGGAATTGCAATTGATTTACTAATGATAGGTGATTTTAGTATTGAAGAGGTTGTTAATGCAAAGGGTAAATAAGTTGAGAAATTTAATTAATCATATATTTTTAGAATTTATTAACAAACATTTCTTAATATGAACAAAACACTTGAATTAAAATTAAAATGGTTTCATAAAGGAACTCAGTTGTAATTAGATACATTTCATGGACAAAATGTTCATTTAGTATCATTACCAGAGGGATCTGACAGAAGATCCAAATTGACATAAAGATTAAATATAGCCAAAAAATAAATTTAAAGTAAGGGATATTAATAATATAATATCGATTAATTATCATTTTATTCCTACCTTAAGAACCTTAAAGTAGATTAGATTAAATAATTCTTCAAAGGATATAATCCTGAATAATGAAATAAATAAAAAATATTCAATATTAAATAAAATGATTAAATATTATATTTTAATGTTTTTGATATCTCTATATATATTAGTGTTTTGCTAGAACAAAAATAAATAAATATATAATCCAATATTAAATATCATTTCTAAATATTTTTAAAGCTTATTTAACAGAACATAAATTTCTTTTTAGTTTTAGCGATAATTTTTTATTTCTGGATGAATCTATGACTTAAAATTTACCATTTGATTTTATGCTAAGAAACATTATTCATCAAAGTTAAGTTAATGATAATGTTATTTGATTAACAAATATTAGAAAATAATTAACATTAGAAATTAAAACTAATAATTTAATTCTACATAATTAAAATATCAAAATTAATAATAAAATTTTTACATATGATAACAGGTTATTATTTTTCTATCTTCTATTTATATTGAGATTTGAATATTTAAATCAAATTGATATTTATAAAAGAGATACAAAATGATTTGGATGTTATTTATTTGATAAATAGTATTTGAAATGAATTAATAAATTATATATATTATCTTTGTTATCAAAACAAATATTTTGATACTCAAAAATTATTTTAATTCATTTTCTAATAGACTTAAGATGCAGCCTTTTATTTTTTTTTGAAGAATAATTTTTTAGTTTAAATTTATAATTTATTAAGAAATCCATTGTTTATATATTGTTAGACTCAATTGAAGATGTAATAAAAATTACAATATAACTTTTGAGATACGAAACAATAAAATATGTGTCATCTACTTGATTAAAATCATTTATTCAATAAGTCATAACATAAATTATATAACTTGCTTTGTTAATATTCAAATAAGTATTACTTTAAACGAGTTTCAATAATAATAATAGGCTAAGATTAGAAAAAAAAATAAGATTTTAATTATATATATAGAATTTTTTAATTATAAATCCAACTTTAGAATAATTTTTTGAAGTAATTTAAAAATTAGATAATTGAATATTATGCTAATATTGGATTGTTATACATATTCAATTCCATTTAATTTCATGTATTTAATATTATTTGCTATCTTCAATGTAGGTTACTATGTATTTGGCATCTTCAGATAATGTTGCATAGATAAGATTTGTCTCAAATCTGAGTTTTGTTATAATTACCCTTTCTCCATCCTTAGTTTTCCCAATAATATATACGTGACGTTTGAATCTCAAAAGAAAAACATCCTTTTATTAATTGTATATGATTGGATTAAGATGAAAATCAATCAACTAATCATCTTTTTCCAATTATAAATTTTTCCCTTAAATAATTTGAAAATTTCCATTTTGTTATTCATAGAAATATATCTAATCATCAGTTTTTTAATCACAGCCAATCCAAAAAAATATGTCATCAGTTATAAAGAAAACTTTAGTTCCATATGTCATGCAAATAATTTCTTGTTAGAATGTCCATTATTAATCTTCGTTATCCTTCTTCCAAATAATAACTTTTTTGTCTGCACCACAAGAAACCATCCTTGTTTCCTTTTTATTTAAACTTATATCAAATATTGTGTTTGAATGATACTCATCTAATGAATATTTAAAGGTTAACTAATTCTGATTAAAATCCACATCCCAAATATCTATTTGACAGTTAGCAGTTGCTTATATCAATTGTGTTTCATCTTTATTTAAAATCATAGAATTTGTCCATTATGATTGTTTCTTTAGTGATTCCCATTCTTTTTCATTCTTTTACTTCCAAATTATTAGGGATCCACATTCTCCTACGGATATAAAACTATTCTTAACTTTGTTACTCTTTACAATACATGTTACTGTTAAGAGATGACCTTTTAGTTTTGTTATTTCTGAGATATTTCTCTAATCGAACTTCCAAACCCTAATTTTGTTTCCACATCCAGTAAATAATAAATCATTCGTTTTATTAAAGGTTAAGGTATAACAAGGATCTCTTTGTTTGGTGATATTGTTATTAATTAAATTTACTTCTAAAGTCTTATGTATATCATCATAATTCTTTTTATAAAATTTTCTAATATTGTTTATGACTTTATCAGAAATCTTATCTATGTTTTAAGGTAATGATGTAATTTTATTTCTCAGTTTTCCAAATTAATTAATAATCTCTTCTCTGATTTTATTTATCTTATCATCTTCCTCTTTTGATTTATCAATTTCTTTTAAATGGATACTCACTTCCTCAAAGAAACTGAATTAGAAGTTTTACAATCTTTGATTTGTTAATGATTCTATATATTTATCTGTTGCTTTTTTCATTGACTCTAACTAACACTATATTTTTCCTATAAAATCGTTAACATGCTCTAATTATTTTATGCTTTCCTAAAGCAATTAATCAGCTATTTCACTTCTCTCTTTCTTTTATTTTAAGATTTAATTGAATATAACTTAAAATTCCAGAGGTTTTGATGAATCACGATTTTTCATACATTCTTGGCACACTATTCTCTCTTTTTATGATATATTTTTATCTGTTAAAATATAATATATTGGTTTTTAATGATTTTTACAAACCAATTCTTCAGGTTTTTCTATCATTTTCAATTCAAAATCATTATTCATTAATTTTAATATTGAAATACAGAATTCCATAAATCATTTTAATATCCCAATATAATTCATATATAAAATACATTAATTAAGATTTAATTTATATATTTATTATTATCATAGAAATATTAAAAAATGATTTCTAATAAATATTTATATTTAATGATTAATATGTTATTCATAACATAACAATAATTTATCAAACTTATACACTACGTGTATGTTTCTTAACTGTTCCAAAATATCTATCCCCAAAATCTCCGATTCCTGGAGCTAAATAATTACTCTCTTTTATCAATATTGGATCAACTTGAGCTGTAATTATTCTAATATTTGGATGTTCTTTAAAGACTTTATTCAATCCTTATTCACAACTAACCAAAGTTAAAAATATTATATTTTCTTCCTTTACACCATAATTTTTTAATATCTTTAATGCCATACTTGCACTTCCACCTGTTCCAAGCATTGGATCCACTAAAATAATTTATTACTCATTTATATTCTCTGGAAGTTTCTCAAAGAAATATTTAGGCATCGATGTTTCTTCATTTCTTTGAATTAATATTTATCCAATTGATGCCCCTGATATCACTCTTAAAGCTTCATTCAAAAATGCATTTCCTGATCGAAGTATACTTACAATACATATTCTAAAATGTAAATACAAAATATATACTCTTAATCAGAGAATTTGACTTCATTTGCATCATAAAATCCCAAAGGCGACTGCTTTACACAATTCTATTTTTCTAATTAAGCCAAAGCTTACTCCATTAAAATTCTAATCAATCGATCTGCGTTCTTTCTGAATGTCTAAAAATATCTTAATTTTTAATTACCACAATATCGGTATTAGCTTCTCTCATCAAAGATAGAATGTGTTCAGTCTAATTTCTATTAAGAATCGACAAGTTTTGATGTTTGTTCAATAAGTTATGTAATTCATTTTCACTTAGAAAATTGTAATGTTGCATTTTATTATGAGAATGGTCATTCTTTAATTAAGAACACATTAAAAAGGTACCATTAACTAATCCTAAGCAGCAAGCTAATTTTGCAAGGTTTTTAAACATTTTTAATATCTTTATTATTCATTTTTTAGAACCAAACCATAAGTATTTCAATAATACATTTTTAATTAATTCTAATATCTTCTAT